AGCTAAAAATCTGTTCCAAAGGTTCACGGATTACTAAGGCAAGACTTAGAATTTTCGCATGAAAAATTAGATGGGAACGTCCACGGATCATACCTAGTTTAGAACGGAACCTGCTGCAGACCCTCTCTAGATCTTTTGGAGCTTAGCCGAAGTTGAAGCTTAGCCATCGGATCAAGAAACTAAGATTATATTCATGATCAGCACGAAAAAGCACTTTGAAAATGGTAAGGTTTCGATCACGGGAAACTTACCCTAAGTTTTCCCAAACCTGCTCGACAAGGCTCGCGGCGAAACTATTCTATGGTTCGCGGTGGACTAGAAAATGGACTACTCGGTTCGGATGGACTGATCGGATGGGACGATCACGAACTAGGCTACCGTTTGCAATGAAAGTTTGCGGTGAAAAGAAGTTATGTTCGGACAAGGCATAAATTCTCGTGTCTCATGCTTACTAGGTCGGGCCGACCTTTAAATAGGCCACCCAAGCAGGTGAAGCAGCTGGACAGCTCACGGTCACTTGCCCATTCTTCACCCGCGGGTAATGTCCTAGGCTCGACACGAGGTGGTGATGATGCCTAAGACCAGGCGTGTGCACAACACGCACTGGCGTGTGGTCGACACACTCAGGCACGACCNAGNCANGGGNTTACCCACGATCNACCCACGACCAGAGCAAGCACCCTGCTCGGTCACCAAGCAGCCTAGCACGCTGCTTACAGCGGCGGTATCCCGCCGTGATTATACCCAAATCGAAATTAAACTCGAGGAAAAAAATTAAACTTCAAAATTTCTTAGTTTTTTTATAGAAATTGAAAATTAGATGTTAGATCTATAACTTCTTTGTTAAAAACCAAGTGAAAATGAGATGGAAATGGTGTAAATCAAGTCAAGAAATGATGGGGATCCACAGATCTGAATTTTTAAGCTCTATGTTCGCGTGAAAAAAGTGGAGAAGATTACCTCAAAATTACAAAATTGCCATTAATGAAAATAAATGACAAAAATAGCACAAAAATTTTTTTAAGGGATTCGAACTTGACACTTATGGCTTAAATAACAAGAAAAATACCAAATAAAGTAACAATTATACATGGATATGTTCGCTAATAAAATATTTAATTACCAAATGTGACAATTTTAATGTTTAAATACATG